GGTATGGCTTGCCGGCTACCTGGAGGCGCCAATGACCCCGAGCTGTTTTGGGAGCTGCTCGAGCAGGGACGCGACACCCTCACTACAGTGCCGCCGGACCGATTCGACCTGAACACACACTATGACCCTACAGGAAAGACGGAGAATGCGACTCAGACTCCGTTTGGAAATTTCATTGATCGGCCAGGCTACTTTGATGCCGGGTTCTTCAATATGTCCCCGCGTGAGGTAAACTCATCTAACAACCCCGGCTTCCTCCTGCAACGATACTAACAATGAACTAGGCCGAGCAAACGGACCCTATGCACCGGCTTGCCCTTGTCACAGCATATGAGGCCATGGAAATGGCAGGCCTGGTCCCCGGCCGCACCCCGTCCACCCGGCCAAACCGCATCGGCACATTCTACGGACAAGCGAGCGACGACTGGCGGGAACTGAACGCCTCCCAGAACATCAGCACGTATGCGGTGCCTGGTGGCGAGCGCGCCTTTGCCAATGGGCGAATCAACTACTTCTTCAAGTTTTCCGGGCCTTCCTACAACATTGACACCGCCTGTTCGAGTGGCCTGGCCGCAGTGCAGGCAGCCTGCTCGGCACTGTGGGCCGGCGAGGCGGATACGGTCATTGCTGGAGGGCTGAACATTATCACCGACCCGGACAACTACGCCGGTCTTGGGAACGGCCATTTCCTCTCGAAGACGGGACAATGCAAGGTTTGGGATAAGGACGCCGACGGATATTGCCGCGCAGATGGAATCGGGTCGGTCGTTATCAAGCGGCTGGAAGATGCCGAGGCGGACAACGACAACATCCTGGCTGTGGTTCTGGGTGCTCGCACGAACCACTCCGCTGAGGCTGTGTCGATCACACACCCTCATGCTGGAGCGCAAAAGGCCAATTACCGCCAGGTGCTACACCAAGCTGGCGTCAACCCCCTCGATGTGAGCTATGTCGAGCTTCACGGCACTGGCACCCAGGCTGGTGATGCGGTGGAGTCCGAATCGGTGTCCGATGTCTTTGCGCCCTCTATGCCTCGCCGTCGACCCGATCAGCGCCTGTATCTGGGCGCAGTGAAGAGTAACATCGGACATGGTGAGGCAGCGGCGGGCATCGCTTCCCTGCTCAAGGCGCTCCTGGTGTACCAAAAGAACATGATTCCCAAGCACATCGGCATCAAAACCGAGATCAACCCTATCATCCCCAAGGACCTCGACCGACGCCATGTGGGTTTGGCCATGTCGAACACCCCCTGGCCACGGCCTGCCGGGAAAAAGCGTCTTGCGGTCGTGAACTCGTTTGGAGCGCACGGCGGCAACACCACCGTGCTCCTGGAAGACGCCCCGGAGAGAGTGAAGGTTTCAACTCAGGACGACCGCACAACTCATCCAGTAGTCATCTCCGCAAAGAGCAAGAAGTCCCTGCAGGCGAATATCGAGAAACTGCTGTCGTGGTTAGATCAGAACCCCGACGCGGACCTTGCGGACCTTTCGTACACCCTCTGCGCGCGGCGGATGCACCACAGCATGCGGTTTGGGGCCGCAGCCTCCGACATTGCGGCTCTACAGAAGACTCTCCGCTCCTGGCTGGACAGTCCCAAAGCGTCTACCGAGCTGCGGGCCATCCCGAACGACGCGCCCTCCGTGGTGCTGACGTTCACTGGTCAGGGCGCCTACTACAGCGGCATGGGCCGGGAGCTCTTCGCGGAGTTCTCGTATTTCCGTACGCAAGTACTCCAGCTTGACCAGATTGCACAGCGGCTGGGATTCCCGTCCGTTGTCCCCGTCATCGACGGTAGCATTGACGATGGGCCCGCGTCGCCCATTCTTACACAGCTTAGTGTTGTGGTGCTGGAAATTGCCTTGGCACGCTTCTGGTCGCACCTAGGCATTCGCATCAGCGCTGTCGTTGGGCACAGTCTTGGTGAATACGCTGCATTCGCTGTTGCCGGCGTCATCTCCGCTGCGGATGCTCTTTACCTCGTTGGACGGCGCGCACAGCTGACCGAGGAACGATGCACTCAGGGCAGCCACTCGATGCTGTCCGTTCGCGCGTCCGAGGATGATATTGAAGAGCTTATTGCAGGCAGTCCCGACACTGCTGAAATAGCCTACGAAGTCTGCTGTCGCAACACTCCACAAGATACCGTCATCGGCGGCACTAAAGAGTCCATCGATAGAATCCGCCAGGCCCTTGAGGCAAACAGTATCAAATGCACGCAGCTGGATGTGCCATTCGCTTTCCACACCGCGCAAATGGACCCCATCTTGGACTCGCTGGAGACGTTAGCGACGCCGATCGCGTTCAAGGCTCCCAGCATCCCCGTGCTGTCCCCCTTGCTCGGAAGTGTTGTTTTCGACCGCAAGTCCATCCACGCACAGTACCTGCGCCGTGCGACCCGCGAGGCAGTGGATTTCGTCGCAGCCATTGAAGCCGCTCAGGACTTCGGCCTGGTGGATGCCAAGACGATCTGGATCGATGTCGGGCCGCACCCCATTTGCGCTGGCCTTGTGCGTGGCATAGACAGCTCCGCATCCGTGATCTCCTCATGCCGGCGCAACGAGGACAACTTGGCGACCATGTCCAAGAGCCTGGTTACCCTCCACCTGGCGGGGCTCACGCCCTGCTGGGCGGAATACTTCCGGCCCCGCGAGCGGGAGTACTCGCTGCTGAAATTGCCCACCTACAGCTGGAATGAGACCGACTACTGGATTCCGTACATTGGAACATGGACGTTGGACAAGGCACTGCTCAAGTACGGGGAAAAGAAAGCCCCTCTGTCTCTGGCCATGTCGCGCCCTTCAGCGCTTCGCACCTCGTTGGTTCACCAGATCACCGCTGAGACAGTCGAGGCGACAACGGCCACCCTCCATGTCCTCTCTGACATGCAGCATCCTGATTTCCTGGAGGCTCTACATGGTCATAGGATGAATAACTGCGGCGTTGCAACTTCGGTATGTCATTTATTCTAAACCCTTCGTATTTCCGTCGGTATATATGCCTGCAAGCAATCTTGTGGCTAACTTCTGTACAGTCTATCTGGTCTGACATGGCCTTCACCGTTGGTGAATACCTCTACCGCCGACTCGTTCCCCAGGTCAAAGACGTGCACATGAACCTTTCGGACTTCGAAGTCCTGCATGCCCAGGTCGCCCTCGAGAAGAAAGGGAGCGTCCAGCCGCTTGTGCTCAAGGCACATTTGGACCTGTCGACTAGCTCCATGTCACTTACCTGGTTCAACGCGAGCGCCGAGACGGGCGAGTGCGCCGCTGAATCCTTCGCTACAGGCGTGGTCCGATTCGAGGACCCAGCCGCGTGGACCAGGGAATGGGACCGGCTCTCCCATCTGGTACTAGGCCGAATTGAGGCGCTAGAACAGCGCGCCGCAGAAGGCAAGGCGAGCAAGCTCTCCAAGCCGCTAGCCTATGCGCTCTTTAAGAACGTCGTCGACTACGCGGACCGGTATCGGGGGATGGATCAGGTGGTGCTGCACGAGCACGAGGCCGTCGCGGAGGTGACGCTCGTCGCGGAGCGGCACGGCACCTGGCACACGCCACCACACTGGATTGACAGCGTCTCGCACCTGGCCGGCCTGGTCATGAACGGCAGCGATGCGTCCAATACCAGGGATTACTTCTACGTCACACCCGGATGCTCCAGCTTCCGTCTGCTGAACCCGCTGAAGGCCGGTGGCAAATATCGCAGCTACGTGCGCATGTTCCCACTGCTGGAGGAGGCGAACATGTACGCGGGTGACGTATACATTCTGCAGGGCGAGCAGATTGTGGGCATGGTCGGCCAGATCCGATTCCGTCGCGTGCCACGGCTTCTCATGGACAGGTTCTTCTCGCCCGCTGCGGCTTCCCATGCGGAAAAGCAGCTGCAGGAGACCGCTCCCAGCGCTACCAGCGTGAAGAAGAGCACTCCTCCTGCTGCTGAGGCCCCTGCCTCAGTCCCAGCGCTCCTGAGCAACCCAGTCGCAATCCCATTCCCCGCCGCCAGCAAGAGCGAAGTCTCCACACCCCCGCTCACCCCTCCCTCCCAGCAAGAGTCCCCCGGCGAATCCGCCGTCATAACGCCGGCCACGTCGGACCGGGGCGACCCGGTAGACGCAGGCGTGGTGGGCCAGTGCCTGCAGGTGATGGCTCGTGAGACGGGGCTAGAAGTCGACGCATTGACGCCGGACGCAAGCTTCGTGCAGCTCGGTATCGACTCGCTCATGTCGCTTGTGTTGTCAGAGAAGTTCCGTGCCGAACTGGGGATTGAGATTAAAAGCTCGCTGTTCCTGGAGTGTCCGACTATCGGGGAAATGACGGCATGGTTGGAAGAGTATTGTTAATAGATCCTCCTTTGCCTATACATATGGGAATTCGTCTTAGTTATTTGTCAATCAATCTACAGCTAACATCTACTCAATTCCTCTAATCCCTGAAAATAATAAATTATCTATAAAATCAAATGGATATCTACTACTCCGTACAGTCGTTTTCATTCTCCATGAGATACACCTGGAATTTTTCAGCCTTCAGTGAGCTTTATGTAGAACTTCCCACCAGTTTACAAGCTTGATCCTATATTTGAGTGTATTTGAGTGTAAAATAGGCAAGTCGCAAGGTCTGTATAGAAATTTAGATCATCAAGCCAATAAGGATCATTCTGTATAATTCTGTTTATGTAGCTAGCTAAGCACCTATCTCGCCCACACTTTCCAGAATCCGTCCCCTGACCCATCATCATGCCAAATTTAGTTGTTCTTCGTGCCTTGCCTGATGAGCATATTAAAAGCAATAGTTATAGAGTCCCTTGCAAACTTCTATTCACTAAAATCCGGCGCCAAAACCCGAGTCTCCATGCAAAATCCGACCTTTCTTTCGGGTTTTACTCACAGTCCTGCAGCTCGTTTTCCCCTGCGGCGATACATTGGCCTAAGACCAGAAGATGCAAGCAACTAATAGGCAAAGATCATTTTCAATTTGCCTACCAAGATCACTGGGTAAACTACAATGGCACCCCCACTCCCAATCCTCATCATCGGAGCCGGCATCTCAGGCCTCACAACCGCCCGCCTGCTAACAAATAGCGGCATTCCGAACATCGTCTTCGAAGCATCCAGCCCAGATCGTAGACAAGGCTTCGCCATCAGCCTGCGCGAATGGGGCTACGCGACACTGCTGTCCGCTCTCGGGGACCTGCCGCTACGAAGCTTGACGCGCGGCGTCGCACCAGACAGGGAAATCGGCGGCTCGGGCTGGATCGACCAGGCTGTATGGGATAACGGGACCGCAAAGAAACTATTTGTGCCGGACGCGAACTCGTCGACAAAGGAGCAGATTGTCCGTGCGAACCGGAATGCGTTGCGCAGGTGGATTGCCGACTGTGGGGAGGAGGAGCTGGATGTGCGGTACGGACATCGGCTGAAGAGGGTGGAGGGGAGCTTGGGGGATGTGCAGGTCGAGTTTGAGAACGGGGCGTTCTATCGGGGGTTGATGGTGGTTGCTGCGGACGGGGTGAACTCGACTGGTAGGAACTGCTCCTCCAGAATTGTAGGACTAAACTGACAATAGGTGTATAGTTCGATCGCAGGTCCTCGCGGATGTCCAACCCGAGATTGTCCCTGCGGTACTCTATCATGGCGAGTTCCAGCTGCCCAGGGCTGACTTCGACCGGCTATTCCGGCCACACACTGGAGAGTCCAACATCCTCGCGGGTGTCGGCGATGGCTTCAACACGCCGTTCGCCGTCTGCAACATGACCAAGACGCATGTCCACATGGACTGGTCGTACTCGCGGCCGGCCTGGGGCAGCGGAGAGAACGACCCGCTGTACCGGCCCAATCTCGCCTCCGAGGAAGCGAAGCGGATCCCCCCAGCGCTGGTGGAGGAGCTTGCGTCGCGCGATCTGGCCGAGCCGTGGAGTCTGTTTCTCAATGGCGAGGCTATCCAACATCACCGGGTGTTTCACTGGGCCGTCCGGTGCGTCTCTGTGACGCAAGAGGACATGCAGCGTGCTGTAGGGCGGGGCATCGCCTTTGTCGGCGACTCGTGGCATGCGATGCCCATATTTGGCGGGGAGGGAGGAAACCATGCACTGGCGGATGGTGTCGAGCTGGCTGCTGCTGTTGCGGCCGGTGTGGCGGGCGATTTAGGCGTGGCGATTGGGAATTACTATGACCGAGCATGGAAAAGATCACAGGACGCGGTACGACGGTCCAAACAGCGGTTCTATGCGCTGCACCGGCCGATGGCTCAGTGGCGGGAGCTTTCGCAGAAGAAGCCCGTGTGACTTTGAACGGTTTGCACTACTGGATAAGAATGCCATGGTTCCACTGATGTTGAGGCCACCTAACCACTCTCTGGAAGCAGGCGGGAGACTGTCTTGCCCTTGGTCTGTATTCGGCTAATCAATATTTAGCGTAATGCCAGGATTAGTGAGGAGGAACCTAGTAAGACTACGGGTATCTGGCCCGGTCTCAAAGCGCCATCGAACCAGGGCTGGTTGAAGATACAATTGGTTGCTCCATATCGTTGTATAATAGATTACCGGCAGTGGAATCCCAAGGACAATGCAACACAAAAGAACAGTAAATTGTGCACGATCGATGCCTTACGAACCCATGATCTCGATCATCATACTCATTGCAGACTTGAACGTAGTAATAGGGATCGCTTTGGCCATAGTTCTCTTAGAACGGAGGTGTAACCTAACCCTGAAACCTAGTACATGTTAGTCCTGGTTGAATATTTATAGAGACCAACCTTGGACCAGTGCTTGAGACATGACTGGATACCCCTTTCTTGACACCTATGGCTCCCGATTCCCAGAAAAGCTACATTCAACGAAGCGTGCCGATCATGCCATAGGCGGCTAGACTGCTTACCGGGAGTAATCCAAGTGGCCAGTGCAATCGTATGATGAACACGAGGACCCCGCAGCCGACTATTCAGAAAGGGGATATTGCAGTACGAGGCTAGAGCTGTTTTCATATCGAGAGTTGGGATGATTGGCGAGGCAGATGAAATTCTTCACACCCCTTTGCAGCGAGCCTTGACACCTAGGGCTGGGGAATGTGGAGCCGGTGCTGAGAATGAGAGCACTGGCTACCCTCGCGATAATTACGCATGGATGGCAATTGAGGGTAATGAAGATCAAAAGGCCTTGTATCCATCACGATGAGAAACAGACAAGAAAACCGCAGCAAAGGGTTGACTAAGACGGGACGAGACACAGAAGCCCGTGGCTGGGAAGAGTATCTGAAGAAAAATCGTCTTTGAACATAAATAAGGTTACGGAAAATAAGGCCGGACTGAAAATAGGCATAACTTATCACTTCTTTCTCACTGGACGCTACCACAGTCCATGCTCGTATTGGGCAAATGAGTAAATCCGGCCACGTAAACGTAAACCCGAGTAAAAGCCCTCCAATCAGCAGAGAACAAGCTTGATATGTGTCAGATTAGAGACTGAGATAAGAATCTGCGCACCTTGATCACAGTGGTCGACGCCCACACCATCACATGGGCTTGTTCCCGAAAAATGTTTCTCGAGGCTGATATCAGGTCGCTTATTTCAAGTTCCACAACGCTAGCCTGCTTGCATGGTCATCCAGTACCGATTGATATCTGCTCTGCTCTACCTCATTGTGCTGTTAGTATAGTGAGGCTACGAGCATTCCGATGCATCGACTCCTACAACAGAATCCTGCCATGCATCATGCCCGGCCTATCTCATCTTATGTATGCCCACCTTTCACGCAACAGTAAACAACCTGCATCTGCCTGCAACGATGTGATATTCTATCGTAGTCGCTCGGTCATCGTTGTCCGATGCACTGATAGAAGATGTAGGAGTCACCTCTTGCAAGTAAAAAAGCGCTATGCCCACTCCAGTCATTTTAAGAGAAGATACCAGGCAACATCCTTCTAAGGGTCATATATTCAGGCACTTGCAGGGGTTGCGTTACATCGCCAATGGTTTCATCCTCGTGTTCACCTCGTGGTTTTCTCGTGTTTTCCTCGTGTCCTGAGATCTAGACCCTATGCAACTCGGATATAGATTTCGCCACCCTAGCTTGTTCCGAAAATAAGAAATCCAGGAAGCTTTTTTTCGCTTGTCTGGTCAGAAGAAGCATATATAGACACGAAGTCACCGCCAGCCACCGGACCACCATCTGTTATCAAGATGGAGAAAAGTAATCGGCGGAAACGCCCCTCAACCCCCCATCTCAGCTGCGAGCTCTGCCGCGAGCGTAAGATCAAGTGCGACAAGGTCGATCCCTGCACCAACTGCGTCTCGGCAGGCGTGGTCTGTGTTCCTGTCCATCGGCCACGCCTGCCACGAGGTGTCCATGCGCGACGAGCTCGCCCAATGTCCCCAGCGTTCGTGCCCGCACGCGCGCCTACCCCTGTTGCGGGTCCGGTATCTTCCGAGGAAAAGCAGGCAGATGCATCCTCCGGCGCCGTGGGGGCAGTTGACGACGACCTCAGGAAACGCATCCACCGGCTGGAAGCGGTAGTCAACAGCATGCGTGCGGCCATGCAGGACCCATCTCCGGCACCTGTTAGCCAGGTTAGTTGCGCATACCGGTGTATAGTCGGGGGTGCTGACGAGGAACAGTCTGTCTTCAACAATTCATATCCGGCGCCAACAAGCTCATTGGCATGCAGTTCGTCCATTCCAATTCATGTCCAGGAGCAACCACCCTTTACTTCGCACCCTGATTGTTTCTGGACTAGTTTGGTTGGAGAGGTAGGCAATGTCGCATGGGCCAATCTAGACTGGCGCTGGGATGCTAACTGTTTCCCGTGGGTGGTGGATCAGATCGAAGACCATGGTGGCGACGTAGGATCGAGTTCAGAGACGAAATCGGATACCCATAGCCCGCTAGCACCTAATATGTCGAAAATAGGCGACGGCGGGCTCCGTTTCCTTGGCCTGAGTGGAAATAATCCGACTCTTACCTGGACTCCAGTCCTCGAAGACAAAGAAATGACACGCCAGTTATGCCAGATCTACCTCCAGCAAGTCGACCCCATCATTAAAATCCTGCATCGCCCAACTGTCGAGAAGTGGATGTTACACGGGGAGCGGTACCTCGATTATCCGGAGAGGCACGTTGCCGTTGATGCGTTGCGGTCTGCCATTTGCTACGCTGCTGCCGCGAGTTTGACCGACGACCAATGCTCGGCCATATTTCAACGGAGCAGGTCCAGCGGCATTGTGGAGGATTCTCGAAGAGCGTGTGAGGCCGCACTGGAGAGAAGTGGGTTGCTGGTCTCTCCCAGTATCACTGGCCTGCAAGCATTTGTGCTTTATCTCGTAAGTACCGGCTTCTGAACAAGGTTCACGACCAAGAGCAGCACTTTTTTTTACTGACCCTGTGGAAAAGATTGCCAGAAGGTCCGAAGACCGCAGTCAGGCCGCATGGACGCTGACGGCGGTGGCCGTGCGGCTGGCAAAGGCACTCGGCCTCCACCGGGAGCGAGATGAGACATTCTTCAGCCAACAGATGCGCAGGCGGTTGTGGCTCACCATCTCACTGATGGACCTGCAGGCCTCCTTCAGCCAGGCCTCTGAACCGCTCATCAACACTGAAGAGGCCACCTCCACATTCTGTTTGCCCCAGCACATCAACGACTCGGATATGGATCCAACCATGACCCACGAAATCCCAGACAGGGAGGGGCTGTGCGATACCACATTCGCGCTGGTCACATACCACATCCAGCTAGCAGGGCGGGCCCTGAATTTTGGCACCGCGGCATCACCCCAGCACAAGGCGTCTCAACAGCAACACGCGCAGCGCTTTGAGCAGAATGCGCTCCGCCTGTTGCACTTTTGCGACCCCGAATCCTCGCCGTACGCGTGGTTCACCTGGCACGGCACGCAATGCCTTGTCTCTGGCGCTCGGTTGTCCGCTCTCCGGCCGCTCCAGCTCCCGCAACCTAGTAACAGCAGTAGCCAGCCGCCGCCCTCGCCGTCTCCCAGCCCGCAGGAGCACAACCACGAGCTTCTCCGCCTGGCCCTCAACGTCTTGGAGAAGGCACACCTGATGCACACAGATCCCCGCGGCGAGGGATTCCGCTGGTACGTGACGATGCCGTGGCACGCGCTGGCGGTCGCCATCACCGAGTGCTCCCTCTGCCCGGATGTGGCCCGAATCCAGAGCGCGTGGCCAACCATCGAGGCATGTTATCAGCTGCTGCGCCTCAAAGGAGTCGCGGGCCAGGAGGAAGCAATCCAGCGTCCACTGGAGAGATTGATGTGTCGGGCGCGGGACAAGGCGAGCCCTCTTTTGCAGCTCGCAAGGCATAGTCCGACATTCAGCCTCGGTAGCAGTGCTGCGACATCTGCTGCACCCACGCCGCGTTCGCGGGCCAGCAGCGCCCCGAGCGACACCCTCAGCGACCTGTCCTGGCCGACAGCTTTCTCCCATGCTCATTCCCAGCTCGGTGTGGATTTGGCTCCAGTTGGTCCGGTACAGCCGTTGGCCAAACTCGATCTGGATTCGTTGTTGTTACAGTTCGATATTGAAAGCCAGCCGCTGCTTGCTGGTCAGATCCATCCAGTGGACGCGGAGCCATCGTTGCGGACGTGGGAGCAGCTGATGTCGGATATTGATCATGCCGAGTCGAACAAGCTTCTTCCTTAGATGGACTCTGTCCTTCCGTCTCTCTTTGGCCATATACGGTTAGACTGAAGTAGGGATAAGACGATTAGCTATCCGACCGGTTACCATCCGGATTTTAGATTCTCTTGTTTGGGAGGCGGGTTTTCTGTTCCAATAGAGAGGAGACTTTTTCATAGGTCGCCGGTTTCTAGCAGAAATTTATCAACGACAAATCATGTTCTAGGTGCTTCGCATAATATACTGGTCAAATATTGTAAATTTGAGACTATTTCGGTTTAGGAGCCAGGCCCATGATATTCTTCTCATCGTACTACAAACTCATCTACGATAGCTTACCAGGCTCTTTGTGCTCTATGACCAGCCTGGCTGTAGCGCAATTTCTTCCATAATGCTGCCTAGATTCAAGGATATTGCTTATGTTCGTCTCTTTCTCCATCGCAAGGGTTGCCTGCTCCAAGCAAGTCTCGGATTTTGGCGCCTCGGCATCTCTGATGTCGGATTTTAGCATTCAACGCGGAACAACAGCTCGGATTAAAACACAACAAAACCTTTCTGCCAACTCCCTAACCTAAGAAAATCTGTATTCGCTGAGTGAGGAATTTAGAGTACTGTATACTCTGCGGACGGCATACAATGGCCCTCCGCATGCCATTCA